CTGTCAAAGGACATTTTTTGGAAATCACAGGTCATCAGTCATCAAACACTGCCCTGTTTAAATGCAATGCTGAGAAAGTGATCTGAATGGGCCTGAGACCCTGCATTTCTAAGAAGCTCCAGGAGATGCAGGTTTTGCTGCTCTGGCACGACAGTCTGAGTCACAAGGAATGAGGAAGTCAGCAGGGGAAGGGGGACAAGCTGAGAGTGAAGGGAGGGGTTTATAAGAAAACGTTACATAAAAAAAGAGAAAATATAGAAAAGAGAAAATATAGAAAAAATATTTTTGCACATTATAGCAAGGTCTAGTAAGCATCTGTAAAAATGTATTATCCAAGTAAGAGCCGTGAGCAAAAACAAAATCAATCTACCTCAAGAGCTGGAAAATGCTTTAATATGCCTCAGGACTCTCTAAAATGATCAAATCAACCACAAAATCATCTAAATGAAAAATGCAGCCCATGTTCAGGATCTAACCAAGAAGCCTAGCATGCTATTTACAAGCTGATTTTTTTTTTTTTTTTTTAGTTTTTGGCTGTGCTGGGTCATGGTTGCTTTGGGTAGGTTGTGATGAGTGGAAACTACTCCTTGTTGCAGTGCATGGACCACTGAGATGGCTGCTTTTGTTGCTGAGCACAAGCTTTAGTAGTTGTGGCGCATGGACTCAGCAGTTATGGCACACGGGCTCAGTTGCTCTGTGGCATGTGGAATCCTCTTGGTTCAGATCAAGGATTGAATCAGTGTCCCCTGCATTGGCAGGTGAATTCTTCTCCACTGCACCACCAGGGAAGTCCTGGCTGTTTATTTTCACTTGTCATTTCTTCCATGGGTTAAAGTCCTGCATAGTACCTACTACACTTTCCTATTGATGGTAACTCCCAGGAATCGTGACAGCAGAGGAAACAAGGGAAAGAGAATAAAGCCCCTTCTGCTGGGCTGGTTCACTCACACGTCCCCTCCCCACCCACAGCAGCCTCTCTCAATCAAATCCATCACCAAAGGGGTGTCCTGGAGTGACAGGGGTGGGGACCAGTGAGCAGGAGAGGAAACCTAGGATGTACACAGGTGGAATTTTAGCTTCATTTCTGTGTGGGGAGATAAAACCCGGGCAGCATGTTCATGAAGCCATCTCAGCATCAAAATATGTATATTATCTAGAGTGAAACAGATCACCAGCCCAGGCTGGATGCATGAGACAAGTGCTTGGGCCTGGTACACTGGGAAGACCCAAAGGAATCGGGTGGAGTGGGAGGTGGGAGGGGGGATCGGGATGGGGAATACATGTAAATCCATGGCTGATTCATGTCAATGTATGACAAAAACCACTACAATTAAAAAAAAAAATGAAGCTAATGGAGATACTGTGTCAAGCTGCTGCAGTTATTAATTCAGTCTCCAAATTTAATTTTCCCTCAAACATTTTAGAATCTCAATAATCCTATGATTTGCAGGGTTTAAGAAGGAAGAATAAGAATCTCTTATGTTCCTAAGTTATGCTACAGAGTTTCTTAGATAATTCATATTCTATGGCTTTGGGTAAAATTTAAGAGAAGTGTAAGTTAACAGAATTATATATATAACGGAAAATCTGACTGACACATTGTCTGAGAGTAAACAAACATCACCTTCAGAGCTTTCAGAAACAAAATTGTATCAAAAACTGTGATTAATGTTTTCCTGACATGGCAGTTCACCTTCTTCTTGACCTACAGTGGAACTGGAAATAATTAGGACCAGTTTTTGCCCTGTGACTAACTGAAGCTGCTCTCTAGGTAGCATTTGGGGATTAAGTTGAGTATTTATTTTTTCATTTTCATGTTACAAGGCTATCATTCATTAAATTACAGCTATATTCCACTAGATGGCTCTGGGGTGGGGAGAGTTTTAAAGAGCAGTTCTTTTGGTTATTTACAAAGTTGTCTTCTGTGTGTGTGTGTGTGTTGGTTGCTGGTTGCTCACACCTGTGTATTACTTACTCACCCTCTCATCCAGCAATCCCTCAGTACCCTCTCTGTGCCCTGCAGAATGCCACTTTCTAGGGAACAACGATGAAAATAAGATGCTCCTTGATTTTAAAAAGCTTCATAGTACTGTGAGATACAGACTTCAAATTGCAAAGCATGCCACAGGTGCTATCTTTTAATTTAATTATGATATAATTCACATAACGTAAGATTTAACTGCTTAACCATTTTATTGGACAGTTTGGTGTTCAGTACATTCATATTACTGTGCAACCAAGCTCGAGAATTTATTTTTTTTGCCTCATAAAACTGATATTCTATACTCTTTAGACAAACAACTCCTCATCTCCCCTCCCGTAGTCCCTGGAGACCACTATCCTACTTCCTGTCTTCTTGAATTTGACAGGAAACTAGGAAACTCACATGAGTGGAATCAGTTTCATTTCTTTTGTGTCTGGTTTATTTCATTTAGCAAGATGTCCTCAAGGTTTATCCATAGGCCAGAAATTTCTTCCTTTTTAAGACTGAATAATATTTCATTGTAAGAATTTAGTTCCTTCCAACTTTTGCTGCTATGACTACAGGTGTACTGTAAATGCTATGTTAAAAGAAAAGATAAAACACTGAGGAAGAATTGAGTCTCGAAAATGCATTAGAGTCACGTCAGAAAATAAGGAGACTTTCACCATCTTGATGATGGAGGGGACGAGTCTCTCAGGTTGAGGAGCAGACTGAACACTGGACGCTGGGAGAACATAGTGTTTTGGGAGCACCTACACATGACCTGAATGCAGGGGTGTGTGTAAATCAGGAGACATACTGGCCGCAGAGGGAGATGGGGCAAGGGCTTCCTACCACCTTGTCTGTTCTGGTTTAGTCTCTTCTTCAAGAATCTGCCCTGGTCCCAGTTGAGGATCCCAATCTGAGCATGAAAGGAACATCACCAGCAGACATGGATGCTGGCAGGTCCAGGTTACTAGGCTCTCTGCCATCTCCAATGTGAATCTTCCTTGCTCCCTTCAATTTGCTTTCGACTCTGAGTGAGTCTCTGGGTCCTGTCTCCATCTGGGGCTCTGGTTCCTCACTTGTGACTGAGTCATGATTCTGGCTCTTCTCTAGTGGCTACGAGCTGAACCCACAGCCTCTACTGGAGTGGGCCTGGGGCTGTGCTGTGGTTCTACTGGCAGCTTACTCAGGCCAGTAAAAGTCAGATCTGTATTTCAGAAAGAAGCAGTCTGCAGGGTGGGGCAGGGCGATGGCAGTTCAGTGTCGGTGAATGAGGACAAGTCTACGGGAAGGGCCAATGGAAAGAGGAGGGGGCGGCAACCAGAGGGCACCATGGGAGGAGGAGGAGATCTCAGAATACAAAGAAGAAAAGATGGAAAGGAGGAAAGGCGGGGGATATTGGACAGTTAGTGGCAGGAAGCCAGGGCTGACTTCCTAGACTTAGTATGAATAATCAGGTGTCCTGTAGAGTGTCCTGGGTCAGGTTAAGATGGAGCCCTGGAGCCCAGGACCCATCTACCACCATGAGGGAGCTCACTCCACAGGGAAAAAATTGCTGGTATCCCCATTCCATGGTCAGTTTCCAAGAAAAATTCACCTATGATGTCACTGATCTAATCTGCATCCATTGGGAACAAAGAGTCCCCCTGACACACTGACAAGGAAGCCAAGAGCAGATATGGTGCTAAATCTTCAGCTGGATTTTAAAGAGGCAAATGGCTTAAACTAACCTTTTCTCTTGGGTCAATGAGCGTGTCCAGGTTCTTCAATACCAGAGGCCCATCCAGACTGTACTTGACGTTAACATAAGTAAAGTAAATCCTTCCTTCATGAGGCTAGGATGGTGGTGGACGATACTCAAGTTCCCAGGGTGCTTCTTTCTCAAGGTCTGTATATTCAATTCCCCTTTCTACTGAAATCATCTGAAATGCATATGACATCACACGAGTGTAAGACAGTCTTGCTTATTAATTTTAGAGATTGCAAGTGAAACCTTCTGCTTTTATATCTTCACATTAGCTTTTATATGGTATAGAATATCTCAGGTCTCAGCATCCACAAAGGACAAAAGTAGGGGCCTTTTGTCTTATGGGGCCTTGGGTGATTTGCAAATTTGTTCATCATCTTCAACCCTTTTACTTACAACTACTTCCTTCAACTTTATATTAAAGCTAAGAGAATTAGAGAAATGAATGTTTAAGATTTTATTGCTCTACCTTTCACATCTGAATTTTTTAAAAAGAGAATTTTTTCAAAGAAAAGAACACTTATGGACACCAATTTAAAAAGTGTGGTTACAGAAGGGCCACATGTTACAGATAAGCAGGACTGGATGGTCATCAAAACTCATTTTAATAATTAGTCACGATCTACTCTGTTACAAGACCGAAATGAAAAGACTTCATTTTTATTGTTTTTCTCCCTTTAGGAGAAGGTGTAAATATTTAGAAAGTGTATAATTTACATATTGACCAAGGCCTCTGAAACAACTATAACTCCACACCTTTGAGAGCACATTTTGAGAGACAGCTTATCCTACCAGAAAGAAGGGCTTCCAGCAGTTTCAGGTGCTCAACACATACATGAATAAATGATAAAATGTGTTGGGGGGAAGGCAGAGGAAACTATTAATTAAATAAATTAATTTTATTACTTTGAGGTACTGACTTCTTTTTTTTTTAACCAAAAATGAGGGATTACCCCTTAAGAAACAAAGATAAACAAGCTGCTAAGAAATTAGCTCATATTCTCTCCAGGTTTACATGACCTCCCTCCTACAGAGACATTTACTATACTTAAGGATAATTTGTGACTATAAAACCTGTTTACACTGAGCACATAAAACTGAGAAAAAGATGTATATATTTTAATTAACATTAACTTGAAGCAGATGGAGAAGAATTAAAAAAAAAATCCCTCTGTTAACAATGATGCCAAAAGGATAGTTTTACTATTTTACATTAGAATTGCCTTTATTCCATTTAACAGCAAGGAGACTTGAAAAGACTAAGAATGAAAAGAGAAACATTACCATATTCTCAACTTCGGTGCTTTGCCTGATACACCACTGGAACATCCCCGTAAGTGTGATGATTAGAGACAGGACCAGGCCAACCTCCCCAGGATTCAGAGCTAAATGAGGAAGAAGAAGAATAGTCAGTCTCCTTCTCCACCCCCTCACCTAGTCCCTTCTGTCACTTTATGAAGAAGACTCCTTTATTTTTATAATTTTTATTGGAGCATATTTGATTTACAAAGTTGTGTTAGTTTCAGGTGTACAGTAAAGTGAATTAGACACACATATACATAAAATCCATTCATTCTAAAATTATTTTCTCATATAGGCCATTACAGAGTATTGAGTAGAGTTCCCTGTGCTATATAGTAGGTCCTTAATAGTTATCTATTTTATATTAATATATAGTAGTGGGAAGACTTCTTTATGACATTTTAATAATTTGCATGTAATGATAATGTTACTCATAATATTACCGTTTATTGATTGGGACCATAATACAGTGAAAAAAGCACTATGAATTTAGAAAGAATTAGAAAGGTGATTTTATTAATCTCAACTGGATTGACATACAGTTGACAGTATTATATGGGTGAGGATCATGTCATTATTCAGACTTTCATCATTATGGCTTCAATTATCATTATGTAATCTCACTTTCTATGTCGAATGTAGCTTCAGTTGAAATCACAAAAACAAGGCAACCAATTCTAGGAGCCAATGCTTTTAAATCTAAAGTAGTACTCTCATTTTTCATTATTAAAGACTATGATTTGGAGTTATTACTATGAAATAGTTAGGAATGGTGAATTCATGTCACACATGCCCAACCTGCTAATCTTGTACCCACACAGCAGTGAGGATATTGATCTTTGCTACAGAGAATCTTTCTCACCCTAATGTACAATTACCTATAACTAAGAGATCCAGGTAGACCTAAAGCTAAAACCTAAACTCTCATTTGTGGAAAAAGTTTAATAGAAAACTTGATTCTCCCCTCCCAACTACAGGACATTACCTGGAATGTTCAGAATGTCATGTTGCTACAGCTGTGCAGACCTCAACCCATTCAAAGATGAAAAGATAAAAGGTTTCAACAAGGACCTACAGCAAATAAATATACAAAGAAAGTACACGAAGCAATCTATAGATTCAATGTAATCCCTATCAAATAACCAATGACATTTTTTTACAGAATAAGAACGAAAACCTTTACAATTTGTATGCAACACAAAAGACAATGAATAGCCAAGGCAATCTTGAGAAAGAAAAATGAAGCTGAGGGAATCAGGCTCCCAGTCTTAAAACTATACTACAAAGCTTCAGTAATCAAAACAGTATGCTACTGGCACCAAAAACAGAAATATAGATCAATGGAATAGGGTTGAAAGTACAGAGATAAACCCATGCTCCTATGTCACCTAATCTATGACAAAGGAGGAAAGAATATATAATGGAGAAAAGACAGTCTCTTCAATAAATGGTGCTGGCAAAACTGGACAACTACTTGTAAAGGAATGAAATTAAGACACTCCCAAACACCATACACAAAAATAAACTCAAAATGGATTACAGACATAAATTTAAGTCTAGACACTATAAAACTCTCAGATGAAAATAGATAGAACACTCTATGACATAAGCTGAAGTCATAACTTTTTGATCCACCTCTGAAAGTAGTGAAAATAAAATAAAAAATTAACAAAGAGGACATAATTAAATGCTTTTATACAGCAAAGGAAACCATAAATAAAATGAAAAGACAACCCATAGTATGGAGGAAAATATTTGCAAATGAAATGACTAACTAGGAATTACTCTCCAATATATAAAACAGTTCATGGTTCTATATCAAAACAAATAACCCAATCAAAAAATGGGCAGAAGATCAAAAATTACATTCTCCAAAGAATATATACAAATGGCCAAAAAAGCACATGATAAGATGCTCAACATCTCTAATTATTAGAGAAATGCAAATCAAAACTACAGGAAGGTATCACCTCACACCAGCCAAAATGACCATCATCAAAAACACTACAAATGATAAATGCTGGAGAGGATGTGGAGAAAAGGGAAACCTCCTACACTGTTAGTAGGAATGTTAACTGGTATAGCCACTATGGAGAACAATACAGAGGTTCCTCTAAAAACTAAAAATAGAACTACCATATGATTCAGCAATCTCACTTCTGGGTAAATATCCAGAGAAAATCATACTTCCCCCCAGTGTTCATTGCAGCACTATTTACAATAGCCAAAACATAGAAGTTGGACATAAATGTTCACCAACAGAGGAATGGATAAAGAAGAGGTGGTATATATACACAATGGACTATTACTCAGACATAAAAAGGAAGAAATAATGCTGTTTGCAGCAACATGGATGGACCTAGAGATTGTCATAAGTCAGATTCAGAGAAAGACAAATAGAATATGATATTGCCTATATGTAGAATCCAACAAAAAGCTACAAATGAACTTATCTACAAAACAGAAATATACTTACAGATGCAGAAAATATAAGGGTAAGGGAGGGGAGGGATAACTGGAAGACTGACACATACACACTACTATATATAAAATAGATAACTAATAAGGATCTACTATAAAGTACAGGGAACTCTGTAATGACTTATAGGGAAAAGAAGCTCAAAAAAGAGTAGGTATATGTATAGCAGATTCACTTTGCTGTACACATGAAGTGCTATACACTAAGACAACAGTAAAAATCAACTATACCCCTATAAAATACTTTAAAAATAAAAATAAAAGAATGGCCCAAGTGAGTCAAAGCAGGCACCCAAGACATCACAGGTCAGCTGGAACAGGCACATTCATACCTGGTCTTTGTTCCTGAAGATTCCAAAAGCCAAAATGAAAAATTCTTTCCAATACGGTCATTTATTTGAAGTATTATTTAAATGAAAATTACTAAAAACATGCATGCAGCCCAATGTTCATGAGGTGGAAAGAAAGAATCCAAAAAAGAGGGATATAAGTATAACAGATTAGGGTTTCCCAGGTAGCTCAATGGTAAAGAATCTGCCTGCTAATGCAGAAGACACAGGTTTGATCTCTGGGTCGCGAAGATCCCCTGAAGGAAATGGCAACCCACTCCAGCATTCTTGTCTGGAAAATCCCATGGACAGAGGAGCCTAGCAGGCTACGTCCATGGTGTTTCAAACAGCTGACATGACTTAGAGACTGAGCACACAGTAACAGATTCACTTGGCTGTATATTTGAAACTACTACAACATGATAAAGCAAATAAATGCCAATAAATCTTTTTTTAAAGGTCTCAACAAGGATCTACTGTAAATAAATAAATGGAAAAAAAGATAAAAGTTCTCATCAAGATGCAAATGACTTCACATGGACCATGCTGTGGAGTCACATGCTATAAAACCCCTAATACAATTCATTACAATCAAAGAGTATATATTAGACAAGTGGCAAGAGTTTAAATTAATAACTGGAAATGAAGCTATAAACTGTAAGCATTTCATAACTATTCAGATTTACTTACTATCTGCCAGAATCAGGGCCGCAAAGGCAACAATAGTGATAAAGATGGCACAGATGACATCCAGATACACAGCGAGCTGTTGGGACATCGTCAAAAGCAGGAAACAAGCCTCTGGATTTGTGAACCGTAATATAATGAATAAACATAAAAACCATGTTAGCTGCTTCTAATGAAGGAGAGCATTTTGCTTAGTTAAGCATTTACACAAGGGGACAGCAAAGTTACACATTCAAGGAAATTGATTCCAGAAAGCTAGGTTCTGACAAAGATAACACATAGCACATACAGAATCAGTCCAGCGGCTTTGTGAGAAGCATGCACTGAAAACTTCAACTCACTGGTTATCAACAGAAATACAATCACAAGGAAAAAGAGGGAAAAAATTCTAATCCACACATTTCCGGCAGTGCTAGACCTCAACACGAAGGTCATCCTCTCACATGTCGACTGTTCCCAGCTCTCTGATAGCAGACAGCATAGCTCACACTGTTTCCAGCACCTTCTGCACTCATCACACGACCCTACATGTGTCTACTTTTAGGAGCCAACATCTAAAGGACCATCAGCTAACAAGATCTGCATGCGGCTTTTTAAATGCAGTCATTATCTTCAAAACAGAATAAAGATTTTAGAGACAGGTCAAAATTTTACAGACTTAGTGGAAATTCTGAAATTTCTTCCTAGAAAAAAATTCACTGATACAAAGTATGATCAAGTGGGTGGCAAATCAGGAAATTATATTCCGCAATCACATCTGCCAGCCTGCATACTCTGAAAGGAGAGTCAATAAACTAAAGCCTGTGGGTCAAGAACAGCCACCACCTGGTTCTGTAAAGTTTTACTGGAACACAGCCATGGCCATTTGCTGACATATTACCTTTGCCTGTCTTTGTGCTACAACAGCAAAGGTAAGCAGCTGCAATAGAGACAGTAGAGTACAAAGAGTCTACAATATATTCTACCTGGATCTTTACAAAAAAGACAAAAGTTTCATAACTCCTGCCCTAAAGAGAGCGAAAACCACAGGGCGCAGTGATGGAAAGGCGAAGGACAATGCGAACAAGGCGGGGGTGAAAAGCAGGGGGTGATGGGGAAGAGGGGCACACAGAGGGATGCTGAGAGGAAGGGGTGGGGGAGGCAGGTGTGCAGAGGGGGATGAGGGGCAGCAGAGAGAGAGGTGGGAGCAGCCAGGCCACCTGAGAAGAAGGTCAGGCCTCAGAAGGCAGCAGATCTCATCCTTTGAAATCATCTCCAGAAACTAACAGACCTGAGTGCAAATCCTGGTGTGAATCGAACAGTTTCTGAAACTTGTGTTCGGCTTTGTATGCCCGGATGGTCCCGAGTCCCTGGAGAGAAGATGCTAAGTGAGAAAACACTGGACTCTGTGCTGGGGAAGCAGAGACACAAACAAGAGAAAGTCAGGAAGGCTGGATGCGAGCAAACCCACTGCCTCCCGGGCTCTGTGCTCACATGTCCCGCTGAAGGGCACACCCACGGCTTCCTGGAGGGCTGCCTAGGGAAGGAAGCTGCCCCTTTTGGAGAGGATCCTCCATGTGACCCTCAAACTCCTGTTCACACCAACCTTCACTTTAACAACCTGGAAATTAAGGATCCTCTTTGAACCCACATTTGACCAAATTCAAATTGAAACTAGATTTATGTAAAGGAACTCTTTATTAATTAATTCATCAAGGTCCTCTCAAATACACCGCCCTCCAAATTCTTCTGGCATCTCTCCATGTGGAAATTGTTCACAGTGTTTTTTAAAACATATTGAAGGATAGTTGATTTATAACAATGGGCTAGTTTCAGGTATATAGTACAGTGAGTCACTTATTTTTTCTGATTATATTCCATTATAGGTTATTACAAGATACTGAACAAAATTCCTTGTGCTTTACAGCCAATCCTTGTTGCTTACCTATTTAACATGGCCGTGTTTATCTGTTAATCCCATATTCCTAATTTATTCCTCCCTTCCAGTCCCCTTTTGTAACCATAACTTTGTTTTCTATATCTCTGAGTCTATTTCTATTTGGTATATAGTCTTTTACTTTTTAGATTCCACGTATAAGTGATGATGTATCATATTTGTTTTTCTCTGAATTACTTTACTAATAATATTCTTTCCATCCACGTTGCTGAAAATGGCAGTGTTTCATTCTTTTTCATCACTGAGTAATTATTCACTAATTTATTAGTCAGTGGCATTCCAAAATTTAATTCATTACAGTCCTCACCACACTGAATTTTGATGAGCTACCTGTGTGCTGTCTCCACCTTAGACAAGTAGCCTAAGGGCTGGGATAGAGTCAATACATCCCCCACCCTGGACCAGAGCCAGACCCAGGACAGGGTGAGACGAGTAAGGGAGCGGACACTCTGCCGTCTCCCCCATCCAGGGACTCTCCCTGCACCTGTGCCATGAGCCTCTGTGTGATCACGGAGCACCTGGTACTGCACCACCCTTGTGTCCACAGGACCCGGCAGATGGAGTCTTTGAACAGTCTTGACTTCCACTCCAGGAACCTGATGGGTGTTTTTATAACTGCCTGCTGGATACATGTCCTGGTGTTTGGAGGTCACTGTGGCATGTGACACTCACACCACCTTTTTAGAATCCGACAGTGGCCTTGGTGTCCATTCTCTTTTGAGTGACTTCATGTGGCTTTGGGTCTAGTGTCACCTGACTGGTCATTCGTTTCCTGTCATCTTCTCTTAGAGCACACGACCACAAGCTCCAGGGTCAGGCTCCTGCCCATCAGGGAACAGGTGGGCTGCGGGCTGCAGGGCAGGGAGGACCCCTTAGGGTTCTCATTCCCCACCGTGAACGAGGCTGTAACTTGCTGTTGTCAGTGGCAGACTGTGACACTGTGCCCTCTGTCCGGGATGAATGATAACTTGTGTTTTATCAGCAGGAAATATCGACATCACCTTGTTACCTGTGCATCTCCTGAGAAGAGCTGTTAGTAAAACCTAGGTGTTTAAAGGAAGTTAAGATCACTTATCTTACAGGAGGCTATGGAAATTTTATAAAATGAAAGGGAAAAAAGTCAAGGGGGAGAACTCCAAATTATTTTCAGGGCCTGACTCTTTAGCCTAACATCCGAATGTCTGTCTGGGTGACAGTGTAGTCAGTACCAGAGTGCACATGGGCACTGCAGTGGGGGTGGGGGCTGGGGTATAAGGGGGCAAAGACACAGAGCCTCCTCAATGCTTAGTGTCCTCGGTTCTACCAGCAAGGAAGGAGCAGACTTCCTCCTGTGAGACACTGGAGCTCAGAGGGTGGGAACCCCTGGCTGGGGGAGGACAGCTTGGGCTGGAGGCCAGTTGACCATCCACTGGACCCTGGGGCTCTTTCCACCTGGGGGTGTCTGACCAGGAACCCTAACTATTAGGGCCCCACCTGTGACACTGACTTAAAGGAAAAAACCTTCTCTGAACCTGAACATGATCAAACAGTTCTCCTTTGTACGTTGTTCAGGCAAAGAGCTGAAAGTGATTCAGTGGTGCTGTGTGTTTGATCATCTGGTTGTGTGCCTGTGTTCTCATTTCAGCATCCACACTGCTCTCTGTCTTCATTAAATTGAATAACATTTTATTTTAGCTTACTATAACTTTGCCCTTATAAGAGCAACACAAACACAGACTGAGCTCAAGCTCCAAATAAGAGAGGCTGGGAGCTCTGTTCAGGCCTTTCAACACCCCGGCAGGTGTCCCAATCTAACCCCAGAACTCAGTCTGGAAGCAGGGTGCTCACGGGGATGATGCAGGTGAATTCCGGGGCCATCACCCTGTCAGAAGGATGCCAAGGCTCCAGCTCCAGAAAGCACAGAAAACTCACTAGAACCAGACTCTCATTTCCACAGCAAATGTGGTGGGGCCATCACCCTGTCAGAAGGATGCCAAGGCTCCAGCTCCAGAGAGCACAGAAAACTCACTAGAACCAGACTCTCATTTCCACAACAAATGTGGTGACATCAATACTACTCATCACAGACAAGGCTTCTGACCAGGAAGCAGATTTGACTGTTCACCCAGGGAGAGTCCTGGAATGAACTCTTCAACAAGGCCTCCCTCACCTGCTTCTCTGTTGGGAGACCAAAGCTGCAAGTGATTCCAGCAGGGATGGTGGGCAGGGTTGACTTTAGAAACCAGGTGTCATCTCAGCCTTGAATACCAGGGAACCAAACATCCCACCACCTACCTCACCTCATGCCCAAGAGTTACAGTGGGCCAGAGGGAACGCACACCTGTGAAAAGCCATCCTGTTTCTTTCAAACCCAGCCAGGATGAGTGAATGGGAAGGTCTGCAAAGACAATTAACTTGTACAGGGGAAGAGAGGATGTCAAGACTCTGTATTATGTTGCCCAATGTAACATCCTTTTTCCCACAAACACTGAGCTCACTGTCCTGAAGCAGATATGTAACAGACATGCCATCACTCAGCAGTCACAGACATGTGTAACTTTACATTTCATGTGACTGACAGCTACATTTTCTACAACCCTGAGGACACTTGGGAACAAACCCCACAAGGCCAGCACAACTTCCCTGGCAGGGGGAGGGAGGGAATTGCATGCAAGGACCCTGGGCTGACAGCCTTCCTACAGGTTATCATTCATGCTCTGTGAGACCTGCTAGTTGTCGTTGTTCAGTGCCTAAGTCATGTCTGACTCTTTGCGACCAAATGAACTACAGCACGCCAGGCTTTCCTGTCCTGTACTATCTCTCAGAGTTTGCTCAAATTCATGTTCACTGAGTCAGTAATACCATCTAAACATTTTATCCTCTGTCATCCCCTTCTCCTGCTTTCAATCTTTCCCAGCATCAGGGTCTTATCCAATGAGTTGGCTCTTCAGATCAGGTAGCCAAAGTACTGGAATTTCAGTTTCAGCATCAGTCCTTCCAATGAATATCCAGGACTGATTTCCTTTACAATTTACTGGTTTGATCTCCTTGCTGTCCAAGGGACTCTCTAGAGTCTTCTCCAGCACCAAAGTTCAAAAGCATCAATTCTTCCATGCTCAACCTTCTTTATGGTCCAACTTTCACATCCATACATGACTATTGGACAAACCATACCTTTGACTATATAGACCACTGTTGGCAAAGTGATATCTCTGCTTTGTAATATGCTGTCTAGGTTTTTCAGTTTTTCTTCCAAGGGCAAGTATCTTTCCATTTCATGACCATGGTCAACATCCACAGTGATTTCAGAGCCCAAGAAAATAAAGTCTGTCACTGTTTCCACTTTTTCCCCATATATTTGCCATCATGGGATGGGATTGGATGCCATGATCTAGTTTTTTGAATGCTGAGTTTTAAACCAGCTTTTTTCACCCTTCTCTTTCACCTTCATCAAGAGATTCTTTAGTTCTTTGTTTTCTGCCATTAGAGTGGTATCACCTGCATATCTGAAGTTGTTGATATTTCTCCCAGCAATTTTGATTCCAGCTTGTGATTCATCCAGCCTGGTATTTCACATGATGTACTCTGCATATAAGTTAAATAAGCAGGGTGACAATGTACAGACTTGAAGTACTTCTTTCCCAATTTTGAACCAGTCTGTTGTTCCATGTCTAGTTCTTACTGTTGCTTCTTGTCTTGCATGCAGGTTTCTCAGGAGGCAGGTATGGTGGTCTGGTATTCCCATCTCATCAAGAATTTTTCAGTTGTTGTGACCCACACAGCCAAAGGCTTCCATGTAGTCAATGAAGCAGAAATAGATGTTTTTCTGGAATTCCTTTGCTTATCTATGATCCAATGGATGTTGGCAATTTGATCTCTGGCTCCTCTGTCTTTTCTAAATACAGCTTGCACATATGAGTGTTCTTGGTTCATGTACTGTTGAAGCCTACCTTGAAGGGTTTTGAATATTACCTTACTAGCATAGAAATAAGTGCAACTGTGCAGTAGTTTGAACATGCTCTGGCATTGCCTTTCTTTGAGATTGGAATGAAAACTGACTTTTCTAGTCCTCTGGCAACTGCTGAGTTTTCCAAATTTGCTGGCATATTGAGTTTGCAGCAAACTAACAGCATCTTCTAGGATTTGAAAGAGCTCAGCTGGAATTCGATCACCTGCACTAGCTTTGTTTGTAGTGATGCTTCCGAAGACCCATTTGACTTCACACTCCAGGATGTCTGGTTCTACGTGAGTGATCGCTGCTGCTGCTGCTGCTGCTCAGTTGCTTCAGTTGTGTCCGACTCTGTGCGACCCCATAGACGGCAGCCCACAAGGCTCACCTGTTCCTGAGATTCCTCAGGCAAGAACACTGGAGTGGGTTGCCATTTCCTTCTCCAATGCAGGAAAGTGAAAGGGAAGTCACTCAGTTGTCCGACTCCTAGCGACCCCATGGACTGCAGCCTACCAGGCTCCTCCGT